CAGCACGTGCTGTGTAAAAATAGAAAAAAAAAAGAAAAAACGTTTTCACCAGCTGGTCCAGGTTCAGGACCCAACACTATGTTTTTCTCACAGTTTTTTGTTTGTTTGTGTTTGTTTGTTTCCTTCTGCATCTAAATAAAGACAAAGTCATTTATGAAGGTGAAAGAACTGAAACAAACAACCTCAGAAATCAAAGCTTTTAGATCCAACATTGATTTTTGGATCTGAAAACAGCTTGATGTGGAAAGCAGCTTTAACTGCATTTATCCCCCGAACAGAAGTCAGTTCACAACACAGGACCTAAACTTGGTCAACAATAGCAAATGTAGAAGTAAGTTATATTGTGAATGCGCATCTACGATTGCGTTAGTTTTGTAATCATTCTGTGCATTCAATGTCTCTCCTTTTACATGTGTTTTTTTTTTTGTTTGTTTGTTTTTTAATGAATTCCCACCTCTGGAGTAGATTGGGGGCTGTTTAATTTTCTTATTGGGTTTCTGTTAATAAAAAAAATACTTAACAAAACAAACTTCTGAGCCAGGTAGTGTAGAAAAACTGAAGTGCATACATTATTTCCTTAAAAGTATAATCAAATTAGAAGAAACAAAATAAGACTCCTATTTGCCACAGAGCAAGTTTTGACCTTTAACAGGGATTCCTGTCCTTGAAGCAATGCCTCTAACTTGTGCTGCCAGGTCAGGTTGTGCTGCCCCCAAGTGGAAACACTATGACAAGACAAGGATTACTAAGTGAACACAGTAAGTGTGGTTCCCTCTATTTTTCCATTCAGATTTTACCCAATCAGTTTATTTGGGCAACGTCTCATCTCCTTCTGATTGTCTCAGTATGTGTCATTTATTTAGTCATTTTTTAATCATATGTTTTACACACTGGCAATTATGTAGGCTCCCATTTAGGCATCTTGACTAAATCAGTCGTTGAGACAGAAAATCAGACGTTCCTGAGGTGCAAAACACAAATGGATTATGACAAATCTCATGAGCCCTGATAACTGACAGGTTTACAGCTGACATTACACACATTTCACCATGCATATAATGTAATCCCAAGCACTAATTATGTCATTAAATCAGAATCTGACATTTATCAAGAAACTGTGAGCACACCACAAAAGCAGCCTCTTTCACCTTTTTTCTTTAATAAAAATTAAACACAATCAATAAGTTATATCACTTATTAGCACCCTCGGAGTGTTTTTTTTTTGTTGTTGTTTGTTTTCTACAGTTTTTTGGGACACATTTTCACACTATTTCATGAATTTAAAAGTGTTTCTGTAAAACACATCCAAAGGTGGGCCTTAGATTAACTCAAAGGACGTGATTTAAACCGGAGGCTTACATAATTATCCCATCTGAATAACGTTACTCTAAGTTAACTTCTGAAATCAAAGAATGTGCAAAAAATATATATAGATTTCTCTCATCTGTCATATATGAAATATCTTACAATTTTAGCCTTTGAACAATAGCTAATGCAAAGTTGATGTAAAGCACTGCAAGGTAAAATTTGCTTTGTTATGCTTAGATTCTCTCCTGTCCTTCTGTTCTCAAACTGTGTGAGACGTGAAGGGACACAGTCCTGTGTGTGTTTATTCAAAATGTGAATAACTTACCTGAAGCGCCAGGATCAGACAGACTATTGATCCCACTAATCCACCCATTTATGTACATTATTTATTCACAATGTGAATTTCTTTTGCGTTACTAGTATAAAAGATATTGCAGAACACGATAAGTAAATATGACACGGTGGCTAAGATACTTATCTGAGGATCCTTGTGGTGGTTGGTGTTTTATGTTTCAGCAGACCCAAAAAAAGAAATATGAAGGCGGCTGTTGGAGCACGTATTATGGCACTGCCCATACATTTGTTAAAGCAACAGTACAATCTGTGCAAACATTTTGTTTGGGGTGAAAATTGTGCCTCCACAGCCTCTAATTATAACACGCTACTCAGTGTTTCGAAATCTGTTGGCAGCAAGGATACAAATCACTTCATTAAACATAATTACATAATTGAACTGTTCACACATTTTTTCTTTTTTTTTTTTTACATTTATTTTAATCCTAATTAGTGAATGTATAAACTTTTTTTTTCTTATTTCTCTTCACTTAAGTGTTGGACCTGCTGAGTGAAGATTTAATGCCGTGCTTTCAGTTTTCAGTCAAAGATAAAGGTACTAAATATTTTGTGCTCTCACATCTGTCATGTACAAAATTATGATTCAATAAAACTGACTTGCTATGTTTTCTTCAAAAAGTATTAAAATAATTCTTATTTCTATGCAAATGTACGTGACGCTTCAATGCTGTTTGAAGACATTCAGAAAGAGATAATTATGTTGTTTGTATTTCCATTGGTGATATGCATTGCATTTGGTGACGCGATCACTGACAGTGTGAGATAATCGCGGTACAGGCGCATTAACAGAGATGTGAGAAGGCTGCCATCTAGTGGCCGTCATTAATCCTTACAGACACCGAGTGCTTTCTGGCGTCACATTTTCCCCTGATCTATGATTTAAACGTATCATAAAAAGAATGTATTATTCTATTAATAATATTTTTACGTATGGTCAGAAGCAAAATCTAATTTCTGGGGAAGCAAAGTTTTACAGGGGACTAGTAGACAACAACTATTAACCCCCTGAGCTCCTCATGTATTTCTTGTTAATCTTGAATCATTTCATCAAGTCTGGGTTTTTTTTTTCTGTCATAATTCCTTGGATTCTGTAAACAGTCTGGTGTGCACAACAGAAGAGGTTTTTTTTTTTTTGCTGATCTGACAAACAGGCTGACCTTTCTGTTTGATAAACAGAAGTTGACCTTTTCACTGAGCTAACGCCTGTCGCCATTTTTTGTTGTTGCAGAAACTCCCAATTTAACATTTGCCTGCAAATTGGAAATCAGATGAAAACCCCATTTTTGACTCAAACAATATTCATAGTACGCTAACCACACCATCTGGGTACTGTCACATTGGTGCAACGCAAACAAAAACAGGAACAATATCCATTTTTAGATGATTATGTTTGGAGCCTTTCAGTTTCAAAGTTAAGAGTATACAACTAATCAGATTGCTGTATTCATGGCTTTTCTTGCCAGTGCAGAGCAGCAAACAGTGCAGCATATCTTATAAAGAAATTATCCACAAAGCAGACAATGTGTTTTAGTTACTTCTTGTGGATAAATAATAATACCTTGGGTTACCTCGGTACACGTCTATTGTTTGCTGACATTAGACGGTGCAGTACAGAATAACTCTAAAAGCTACCCAGCCAGCACACCTAGGTGGGCCCCATATGGGATATAAGTGGGCAGGCAATATGGGTCCCAAAAGGGTTTGTCCACGGTTTCCATGGTGGCCCCACATGGGTTTGCCCAAGTAGATTTCAATGGGTGCTAACTGGGTTTTCAGTGGGTCCCACATGGTTAACTTACATGAGGCCCATCTGTGGCCCACTAGGGTGCTGTCAAGAATATTTACGTGGGTCCCTATTGGGTCTGAACTGGGCTAGAATATGGGTACCAAGTGGGTTTGTCCACGGTTTCCATGGTGGCCCCACATGGGTTTGCCCAAGTAAATTTTTATGGGTGCTAACTGGGTTTTCAGTGGGGCCCATGTGGTTAACTCACATGAGGCCCATCTGTGGCCCACTAGGGTGCTGTCAGGAATATTTACCTGGGTCCCAATTGGGTCTGAACTGGGCTAGAATATGGGTACCAAGTGGGTTTGTCCACGGTTTCCATGGTGGCCCCACATGGGTTTGCCCAAGTAGATTTCAATGGGTGCTAACTGGGTTTTCAGTGGGGCCCATGTGGTTAACTCACATGAGGCCCATCTGTGGCCCATTAGGGTGCTGTCAAGAACATTTACGTGGGTCCCTATTGGGTCTGAACTGGGCTAGAATATGGGTACCAAGTGGGTTTGTCCACGGTTTCCATGGTGGCCCCACATGGGTTTGCCCAGGTTGATTTCAATGGGTGCTAACTGGGTTTTCAGTGGGTCCCACATGGTTAACTCACATGAGGCCCATCTGTGGCCCACTAGGGTGCTGTCAAGAACATTTACGTGGGTCCCTATTGGGTCTGAACTGGGCTAGAATATGGGTACCAAGTGGGTTTGTCCACGGTTTCCATGGTGGCCCCACATGGGTTTGCCCAAGTAAATTTTTATGGGTGCTAACTGGGTTTTCAGTGGGGCCCATGTGGTTAACTTACATGAGGCTCATCTGTGGCCCACTAGGGTGCTGTCAAGAATATTTACCTGGGTCCCAATTGGGTCTGAACTGGGCTAGAATATGGGTAACAAGTGGGTTTGTCCACGGTTTCCATGGTGGCCCCACATGGGTTTGCCCAGGTTGATTTCAATGGGTGCTGACTGGGTTTTCAGTGGGGCCCATGTGGTTAACTCACATGGTGGCCCCACATGGGCCCACCCTAGTGGGCCCATCTGTGGCCCACTAGGGTGCTGTCAGGAATATTTACCTGGGTCCCAATTGGGTCTGAACTGGGCTAGAATATGGGTAACAAGTGGGTTTGTCCACGGTTTCCATGGTGGCCCCACATGGGTTTGCCCAGGTTGATTTCAATGGGTGCTAACTGGGCTTTCAGTAGGGCCCATGTGGTTAACTCACATGGTGGCCCCACATGGGCCCACCCTAGTGGGCCCATCTGTGGCCCACTAGGGTGCTGTCAGGAATATTTACCTGGGTCCCAATTGGGTCTGAACTGGGCTAGAATATGGGTAACAAGTGGGTTTGTCCACGGTTTCCATGGTGGCCCCACATGGGTTTGCCCAAGTAGATTTCAATGGGTGCTAACTGGGCTTTCAGCGGGACCCAGATGCCTTAATCCTGTAGGAACAATTCTCATCTAACCTGGATGTGAATTACATTCATAGATATGCAATCTTGATCAACAATCCAAAGTCCAGCTTAAAACGTGTTCAAAAAAAAATAAAAAAAAAGAGATGAAAAATTTATTTTGCTCAAGGCTTTTATTTAGTAATTTAAAATATTGTCAGGAGTTATTTTTTACCTCACTACAGCAATTATTAGAACTTCATTAATACTCAGGGAATGGTGCCACAAAAAGAAATCTGCAATTATTCACGACATCTTTGAAAATAACAGAAGCTAGTTTACTATAACAAACTTATAAACAGATCTATAAATATATATCTATAGATGCACACAAATAAAGACACCTACATATTTTCCTACAGGTCTATAAATGTATACATCTAAATACTATCTATATAACTTTATACACGTATATTCACATTGATACACACAATGTGAATATACACACCTATATAGATCTTTCACAATACATTTTTGTTAAACATTTTTAAAAATAACCTACATGCCATATGCATGCTTAAATTTGAAATCTCTCATACTTTACTGAAACTGTCCATCTTGAAAGACCTCCCCAACCTGAGTTTGAACTGGCAGTCTCTCTAGTCTATTTCCACTTCCACTCGGGCTCCAGTAAACCACTTCGAGAGTCTTTGCTGTATGCTTGTGTGATTCTGTAGATGGATAATTTCTTTTAAGTCCCCTGAAATAACAAGCAAAGGTAGAAATTGTATTAGTGTTTCATTTTAGCACAATGTAACATTCATGAGATTTGCATCTCCCCCTTCATGGGGCAAAAATGCTTGCAGAAATATGCCATAATCAAAAGGACTCTTGAGTCATCATTATTATGTACAGAAACTATATTCTTACTGTAAATTTAAAATATATCCATCTATATAAATCAACTACTAGGTTCTATCGTGGTTTTGTGGTTATTTTAATATTGTTTGAAATGCAAACAATATTACCTTCAAATTTTTAAGTTCTTAACAACAGTGAAAGAATACTGTTCAAATAAAACCAAAAATTGAAGACTCAATTTTTAACCTAAAAACATTACTAAAAATAACAAACAAAAGCATAAAACAACCAAAATAAATTAACATATGTTTAAGAAAGAAAAGTGAAAAAAAAAAGTTACTCTGACAATAAAAACTGATATTTACCATACAAAACATCAAAGAGACGCAGGTCCAAGAGCTTGTTTCCAATGTTGGCCAAAAAGGTTGAACTGGACTTCCAGTTCATGGGACATGAGGAATCGCACAGCTGGTTGTATTGTGTCATCTAAGGATGCTCCTCCAATTTCTGTAGCCATGGCAACCTTAAGTACAATGACAATAACAGGACAACATTTTGTTTTTGTTCATCAGTTTGTCTTTATATCACTCTTATGTGCTTAATTTCACTAACATATTAATCTACCTTTTTCAAATCATTATAAAGTGATCTTCACACGCTGATCCTCTTGAAGCCTGCAAAAATATATATTTTATTAGTGCAATATAACATTTAGACTTTTCAAAAAAATAAAAAATTAAGGCAAAACAGCCTTTGTATGGATTAACTACTGAAGCCTTATATTGTAAACACTGAACAGTTTTGCAATTATCCTAATTTCTTTGTTAACGTGACAGGACTAAGACAGTAGTATTACTCTTAAGAGAAGTTTAGAAAATCACTATAAATGTAACTAATAAAGCCTAAAACATTGCACATATAAAAAAATTAGAGCTACAATTAAATATAAGTACATTTCACATAACTGCTAGCTAAATATTGCAAAAATATCAAAAAGAATTTCTTCATCTTTCAATATTTGTTTCAGGCTTGGCCACTGATTGACATGATGGGTTTCAATTTACGGACCCACATGCAGTAACCACACGTTGGATAGGGATGAGTGAGTGATTTATTTACAACAGGACAAAATAAAATCTATTTCCCGGACATCAGCGGAAGGGTGAGGACCACTCGACCAGGTTGGCCTGAAACGAGAACTTAGTTATGACGGGCTTAGAATGAGTGATCGGAGGGGAAACAGGAACAGGCTTACTTCGGTGCGGGTCTTTCGAGGCGTGGGTGTGAGATGCCAGGTTCCTGAGAGAGGGTGTGCAGCGGTTCCGAAGGTAAATGCGAGGTGGGAATGGAAGAGAGCTGGAAGCTCGAAGGGTGGAGTGGAGGCAGTGGAATCGGCGGAGCGAGCAGGCAGGTATTCACTGGTGAGTTCTCGAATGAGGCGACAAAACCCCTAGGATCGAACAAACACAGAGACCAGGTGACTTCTAGTAGACACAGAAACGTTCTCAGAAAACTGTTCACAACAGGAGAGGCCAGAGTGACTACCGGTGTATGCAACCATCTAGCATACACCAGTAGAATCTTCAGTCAATCTAGCGTAGACTGAAGATTCTGCTGCTCCTCCACCTGTGCCAAGCTCCACGGGCTCCTCACAAAGATCCTCGCTGAAATAAGATGCGACACTCACATACACACACAGGAACCCTGACACTGATGACTACTCTAGACCAACACAATAGCGGCAGATTGAAATAAACTCTGACATAACAAAACGCTTTAAAGTGTCACACAACAATTAAAAAAGAATTTAAAAATATGAACTACAATGCCTTCATCCTATTTACAAAAAACCTTTTAGGCCCAATATACTGAAACCACATGGGCCCCATATAGTGTTCCCATTTCTGTCCCATGCCCAGTTAGCCCACGTTAATGCTGAATTGGGCCCATACATTTAACCCAATTGAGCCAACAATATGAGTCCCATTTCGGTTAACCTTTTGAGCCTCACGCAGTTGGCCCAGATAAAACCCATGCCCTCTTATCATTACCTATATAGGCCAAAGCTAAACGATTCAATGCAGTTTTATTGAAAAAAACGACAATAATAATCTTGCATGGGTCCCAGCCAAACCAGCCTGAATCCATACATGAGACCCACCCATGCATGCTGATGTGACTGTGAGAAAGATTATTAAAAGCCCAAGTACATAGAATGAAAGCACAATAGTTACTCTTTTTAAATCATACAAATGGTTTTATTGTGTCCAGACACCTCTGCTAGCAACATAGATTCTTCAGTGAACCGATTTCATTCTGCCTCGTTGGCGCTCAAATGAACCAATGGCAGCTCAACAAATAGAATGGCGGCGGTATTTGAAAATGGTTTGGCCCACAACGCTGCGTTTGAAATCGGTCTGCACTAAAATCTGCTTATTGTGTGTAGCTGTGTGTGTTAGCAATATCAGAAAAAGTATCACCCTAAAGAAAAGCAAAAATAACAATAACAATTAAGTCTCTTTTGGGATACTGTCGTCCGATTTGTTACGAGCAACAATTTTTTTAAAAGCGATTTAAAATCTCTCCCTAAAATTTGGTACTAGGTAAAACAGAAGAAATGTACTTACAGATTCTTTCGTAGATCAGCCAACAGGCAGACTCCGCGCCAACGGACTGATGAAGAGAACAGGCTTGATTTTGAAACCGCATATCCATCCGCGGGTCATTTTACGTTTTCCAAGAAACACAAGATTAATTTTTGAGAGTGCTACATCGGTTTAACAAATGTAAAACCGATGTAGCAAAAGTTCTCAATGTAAATAAATACATTTCGTTGTCCTCCTTATTCAAATATGTTTTGGAACTATTTTCTTCAGTGGATGTGTAAAGTGCCTACCGGTGCTTCAATTCACCAACCTTTATTGGCAACGGTGCATCAGAGCAAACAATGAACAAAAAGGTAATTGGAACCAAATGAATCATTAACAGAAATGTTACGTTTTTTTATTATTTTTTTTATTTATACTGATGACTTGGAAAATGTTTGCAAATATATGAAAAACAGATGCTCAAAATTTTACTCTTGTCTCTCACTTGCTAATGAGTTTTGTTTATTTTCTAAACATGTGATACTTTTCACAATGGTCTGATCTGAACTATTTGTCCAAATAAAAATTTAAATCTTGCTGCGAACAGGCTGCAGTAAACTCTATGGATGTCTAAACATCCAATTGATAAAAAATAATAATAAAAATAAAAAAAAAAGTTATTATTATTAAAAATAAAACAAGGACTAAAGCTCAACCATGACCACTCTGTGCTTAATTTTGAGTAAGCACCAGAATATGAGTTTACGTATATATTTCAAACAGATTATTTCAAAAAATGTTTTAAGACATTCAGATTGCAATAATAAAATGAAAAAAAAGTTAGGGGTTCAAAGTGTAGCAAGAGCAATACTGAACTGGCTTTTGCTTTGACATACAGTGAAAAGTTTGAAAGTGACAGGGTAACCACATTGTCGATTAAAATGTTCTACAATTTTGTCCCATTTAGACCATGAAAAAAAGTACTAGGGGCTACATTTTCCTGCCCAGGTCCAACCCATGTATGGTTAGCCCATGCTCATGTCATGTTAGTTTAATGTGGACAGCCCACATTGGGCTTCTCATGTGGGGCCCATGATACTGAAACCACATGGGCCCCAAATAGTGTTGCCCATTTCTGTCCCATTTCCAGTTAGCCCACATTGTTGCTGAATAGGGCCCATACATTTAGCCCAAATGGGCCAGCCCATAGGGGTCCCATTTTAGTTAACCATATGTGTCCCATGAGGTTTGCCCAGATAAAACCCATGACCACTCATTACCCATATGGCCTACTACAAACCCAAGGGGGGCCCACTCATGCGTACTGGCTTGGAGACTGGACTGGACTGTTCTAGCATAAAAAATAACATGAAAAATGTTAAGGGTTCAAAGTGTGGCTAGAGCAATACTGAACTGGTTTAAAAAATAAAGCATTGTAGAATTATTTTAAATGTTTTAATATCCTGGTCCTCTGGAAGCCTAGTGTTTGTAAATGAGCCAGGCATAGATATCACACAGTGAACATGTTTTAGGTTCAAAACATTAGGAAGACATGGATGTTCTGTTCTATCAGCAAAATATATCCTTGGGTGATCTCCAAGACGAGGTCACCTTCGTCCCGGAGACCTCGACAATGGTCAAGGTCACCAACCTTTACTATCGTCGAGGTTTCCTACAAGGAAAAAATTAAATTCTACAATTTACCTTACATCAACTCCATTAGAGGCCAGCTGAGTAACAATTGCCTTGGCAAAGACTATAAAGCTGACATCTCGGGTAATTCTTTCCAAGTTTTGAGAATCTTGCTCTTGCAGCTTTTGCTTTGACATACAGTCAAAATTTTGAAAGTGACAGGTTAACTACAGGGGTTGGACAATGAAACTGAAACACCTGGTTTTAGACCACAATAACTTATTAGCGTGGTGTAGGGCCTCCTTTTGAGGCCAATACAGCGTCAATTCGTCTTGGACAAGTATGGGGCCAAGGGAATGCCATGATATGGCAGCCCACACCATCAATGATCCACCCCCATGTTTCACTCTGGCATACAACAGTCTGGCTGGAATGCATCTTTGGGGCTTCTCCACACCGTAACTCTCCCGGATGTGGGGAAAACAGTAAAGGTAGACTCATCAGAGAACAATACATGTTTCACATTGTCCACAGCACAAGATTTTCGCTCCTTGCACCATTGAAACCGACGTTTGGCATTGATACGAGTGACCAAAAGTTTGGCTATAGCAGCCCGGCTGTGTATATTGACCATGTGGAGCCCGACGGACAGTTTTGGTGGAAACAGGAGAGTTGAGGTGCACATTTAATTCTACCGTGATTTGGGCACCGTGGTTTTATGTTTTTGGGATACAATCCGGGTTAGCACCCAAACATCTCTTTAAGACAGCTTCGTCTTGCATCCACAGTTAATCCTGTTAGATGTGGTTCGTCATTCTTGGTGGTATGCTGACATTACCCTGGATACTGTGGCTCTTGATACATCACAAAGACTTGCTGTCTTGGTGAACAATTTGCCCTCTTTTGAACTCCAGTATGTCCCAAATAATGTTATGTGCATTGCAATATTTGAGCAAAACTGTGCTCTTACCCTGCTAATTGGACCTTCACACTCTGCTCTTACTGTTGCAATGTGCAATTCATGAAGATTGGCCACCAGGCTAGTCCAATTCAGGCATGAAACCTCCCACACTAAAATGAGAGGTGTTCAGTTTCATTGTCCAACCCCTGTACATTGTTCTACAATTTTGTCTCATTTAGCCCACTTAAAAAAGGACTGGGGTCTACATATCCACGCCCAGGTCCAACCTGGGCGTGGATATGTACTGACCACACTGAACCCACAGTGGGTTCAGTGTGGTCAGCCCACATGGTCTCCCCATGTTGGGGCCCATGACATGAGCCCATGCTGATGTCATGTGGGTTCAGTGTGGTCTGCCCACATGGTCTCCCCATGTTGGGCCCATGATACTGAAACCACATGGGCCCCACATAGTTTTGCCCAGTTCTATCCATTCCCAGTTAGCCCACTTAAAAAAGGACTGGGGCCTACATATCCACACCCAGGTCTAACCCATATATGGTCAGCCATGCTGATGTCATGTGGGTTCAATGTGGTCTGCCCACATGGGCTTCCATGTTGGCCCATGATACTGAAACCACATGGGCCCCATATACTGTTGCCCAGTACTATCCCATTCCCAGATAGCCCACTTAAAAAAGGACTGGGGCCCACATATCCACACCCAGGTCTAACACATATATGGTCAGCCCATGCTGATGTCATGTGGGTTCAATGTGGTCTGCCCACATGGGCTTCCCATGTTGGGCCCATGATACTGAAACCACATGGGCCCCATATAGTGTTGCCCAGTACTATCCCATTCCCAGATAGCCCACTTAAAAAAGGACTGGGGCCCACATATCCACACCCATGTCTAACCCATATATGGTCAGCCCATGCTGATGTCATGTGGGTTCAATGTGGTCTGCCCACATGGGCTTCCCATGTTGGGCCCATGATACTGAAACCACATGGGCCCCATATAGTGTTGCCCAGTACTATCCCATTCCCAGATAGCCCACCTAGTTGCTGAATAGGGCCCATGCATTTAGCCCATATGGGCCAGCCCATATGGGTCTCATTTTAGGTTAACCATATGTGTCCCATGCAGTTCGCCCAGATAAAACCCATGCCCACTCATTACCCATGTAGCCCACATCAACACAAGTGGGGCCCACTCATGCGTGCTGGGCTGGGTAGTTTCTAATTTACAGAAACTGTATTTTTTTGCCAGTCTTTAAGCGGCAAACAAAACACCAACATACAGCTCAGAGCGCCGTAAAAAATCGGAATTACACATCTACTTGTTAATCAAACTGGGGCAGTGATTTCATTAGCAATTTAATTTGCTCCACAGAGATCTAATTATGGTGAATATCAGAAGGTGAACAGCTTACTTCTCAAACAAAATATTAATCTAGGATTAATTATCCTTTTGGAAGAAAATGGACGTAAACACACCCGACACCCATTTAGTTTTTTTGTCTGACAGGATGACTTTTAGATCAACACTGATTCAGTAAAACAGATCAATATTATGTCTGCGATTCAAGCTAAAATTAATCCACCTTACGTGCATTACATGGGAATAACTGACAACTTTATGAATAAATGAAACCAAGTTCAGAGCTGACTGACAAACGGGGGAAAAAAAGGATAAAGTAGATGGTTTGAAGCACTTTTGAAGCTACAGTAAAAGTGAAAAATCTGCCTTCATGAGGATAAGACCTAAAATCTTCCAGATGTACCTAAATTTCCTTTTGATCTAATTTTCTTGGGCAAAACATACTTGTAGTGATTGGACTAGGACACCAAAACTTGCTTTGACCCATGGACCTACAACCCTTTAAATACAGCCGTGCAATTTTTATTTACCAATTTTCTCACAGAGTTCTAGTAATTTTTTTTTAACAGTATCACAAGCAAATATATTGAAGTCTGACTCAAAAATGTAATATAAGGTTTCAAAATTCTGAAAACATTGGCTTTTAAAAATAGCGCATCCAAGCTAAACGTAGGACAAATATGGATAGGGTAGTAGAAATTAAATGGAAAGAATTTAGAATAGATCAGAAAAATAGAACTGGGTTGGGTTCTGAACAGGCTATGTGACGCCTGTCATATAGTGAAAAAGTGAAATAACAAAGGAAAAGCTAATTTAAATATGGCAGGAGCAGAGGTCCAGTTCAGCACATTTCTCCTAAAAACCATTAATTTACCACATAAATGCACAGTCTTTGAGATACCTTTCTCTTAGGTTTAGTAGCCAGAGGGAAGAAAAAAAATTTAGCCGAAGCAAATACTGCCAAAAGAAGTTGAATGTAGTTCACCATTAATCTCTATGCAAAGTTGTCTGCCACATGCAAACATTTGTGGTTGAGCTGCGACTTGACTGATTCAGTATGGTGTGTTAGAGTAGTCATAGCATTCGTTGAGACTAGTAATTCAATACAAATGCATTGTCATCACCTTTTTATTCATAAAACATTTTTAAAACCATGCATAACTTTTTTTTTCTCCATATCAGAATTAGCATTAAATTGCCTGTTTGTGGCAGAATTTTTCAAAGGACATATTTTCTCCAATACCACAAATTTACAGCAAGAGAGCACCAAAACAGAGATGGAAGTCCTTATTCTTTGACTAGACATTAAAAAAAAAAAAAGTTCTCAATCTTGATGGCTTCTACTGTTCATAGAGTTCAGAGTTCAAATGCTGTTTTAAATTAAAGCTTTTTTTTTTTTTTTTTTTGGCATTTTGGTCCCAATTTTCTTTCAGCAATTTGAAACACAACCTGGTTTTT